GGGGTACCCATAGATCCCCAAGAGCTATTATGTGGGGGTACCCATAGATCTCCAAGGCCTATTATATGGGGGTACTCATAGGTCCTCAAGGGCCATCCTATGGGGGTACCCACAGATCCCCAAGGGCTATTATGTGGGTGTACCCATAGGTCTACAAGGCCTACCTATGGGGGTACCCATAGGTGCTCAAGGGCTATCCTATGAGAGTACTCATAGGTGCTCAAGGGCTATCCTATGGGGGCACCCATAGGTCCTCAATGGCTATCCTATGGGGGTACCCATAGGTCCACAAGTGCTATCCTGTGGGAGTATCGATAGGTTCTGTAGGGCTATCCTATGGGGGTGCTCGTAGGTCCTCAAGGGCTATCCTATGGGGGTACCCATAGGTCCACAAGTGTATCCTATTGGGGTACCGATGGGTCCTCAAGGGCTATGCTATGGGGGTACTCTTAGGTCCTCAAGGGCTATGCTATGGAGTACTTATGGGTCACCAAGGGCTGTCCTATAGGGGTGCCCGTAGGTCCTCAAGGGCTATGCTATGGGGGTACGCATAGGTCCACAAGTGCTATCCTATGAGGGTACCGATATGTCCTCAAGGGCTATGCTATGGGAGTACTTATGGGTCCCCACGGGCTATCCTATGGGGGTACCCATAGGCCCTCAAGGGCTATCCTATGGGGGTATCCATAAGTCCCCAAGGACTATTATATTGTGATATGCATAGGCCCTGAAGGGAGTAAGGCAATAGGGAGATAAGGCTACAAGGAATATAAGGTCGACGGCTGCATGAACTATAAAAATATGTGCGATATGAGAGTATGAGGTCGCAGGGCAACTTACCTATATACATAATATCGAGTGTCTGTATGTATTTTACCGGATGAAAAGTTAAATGTCTGAGGTCATGCGTTAAAGTATAAAACAGCCGTGCATTATGCACGGGTTCTCGCTAATAATTTACATTTCAAGGCTTTAGCCATTGCATACTACTGTTTGAAAAACAAACGAAACAAAGTTTTCTTAGTAATGAAATTAATATACAATTATTCTTACTTACCATCGCTTCGATTAGAATATAGTGACCAACGAAATGCTTGTCGACATTGAATATCTTTAATATGATCAAATGACGTAAACATGGCTAAATTTCTTTCGCTTTGTTTCCAGTTGACACAAACGAATACATCACTGTACACATAGGCCTCTTGATAAAATTGGCCATTACCACATGAAAAAGAAAGAGGATATCGATCTATACGTTCTTCACATCGAAATGTGATACTTAAACCACAAGGCGAATAAGGCCACACCGACCATCTCCCGATGGCTACTTTCTCCTCACTACCGTCAAGACAATCAACATTTAAGGTGCTGTCTCGTGCAAATGTCACTGGAATACATTGACCACCATAATGACATCGATATTCATCATCAGAACATGTTGTCATCTCTAATGTTTCACACCACTGTTCGTCTTCAGCACTCATACAATCAACTTTGCCATCACATATTTGTCGCCAATCAAGACATAAAGCCCATGGTCCACGATCACAATCAGATAAGAAACGATAACATGTAGTAACGCTTCCTTCAAACATTTTACGCCAACGACTTTCCACAAAAGACTCAATCATTTCAGTAAGTGATAAAAATGAACTGTGGACAAATCGATACTGACATTTTGATCCAAACCATGGCGATGAACAGTTGTAGAATAGATCTAAACTTTGATTATTGATTTCATATCGTTCAGCAACATCGATAGGTGCTGCCCAATTTAAAAGTTGTTCACTTGTTACACCTTTTTTTCCTTAATTCATTAAAAGTAATCTTGTTTGCTATATTTTCATCTAGTATATCAGATATTTCATCTTGTTTTTCATCATTATCAGGTCGTCGACAATAGGGAGTTAACTGTTGGTTCATAATATATGATAAATATGCATTTAATTCACTTTCGATAAATTGAATGTACAGACAATCAAACGTCAAATACGAATGCTGACGAATATCGGAATAATATAGTAAATATCGAGTTTGCACTGCATTCTGCAGAGCAAGAAATATCATAATATACATAATCAGCATCTTTTCACGATCTAAATCAGAAGTAATAATTATTTGACATTTGTGAACACATAGAACACATTGATCAACAAAAGATCATTTTTTTTATTCGTCGAATACGCAAACTCAAAGACTACATATTGTGTTACTGCTCGTTTTATGAAATCCTAAGACATATGTGGTTCTTATTTCAATAAAATCATACTCACAATTCATAGATTAAAAGAGAAATTAACGTTCTTTTGCTCGATCTCCATTCAAGAACAGACATAATAAACAAAATTTTATCAGATGCAAAATTAGGATTTATGATTTATTTTTTTTCTGGAAAAAGAGTTCTTTAGTATTGAAGAAGACAGTAACTTACAGAGAAGCAGTCATCCTATTCCGCAATATTGAACATGCCGAAACCAGTTCCGCCTCAGTAATCAGTTTCGTCCAATTACGAGAATCCGATCGTCTTACAATATAAGAAACCTGCTCGACATAGATCGAGTTCCATCGAATTCTGGAATCGGTATGAATTCCTGAAATTCCATGCCATTCCGGAATTGATAGGAATTCCCAGGAATTCCGTGCAATTCCATCTCCACTCAATTCCCGGAATTCCGTACCGGAATTCGGTAGTGATCGAATCAAATAATCTTTAACCACATCAGTATGCGTGAGGGTACGGATGAGATGTAGTTCCGGCTAGAAATTCTATGCAATTCCGGAATTAGGTCGAATTTCCGGAATTTCGGAATCGATAGAAGCTCCCGGCAATTCTCA